CTAAAAAATAATTGCAACACATGATTCAACAAATTTGGGGGTTAAAATATTGTAATGCTTTTACTGTGATTTAATGATTTTTTTTATTTATTTAATCTTGTATTTACTCTGCGCCTTTTCTGTTCCACGTCAGTTTAACAGTTAAGAAAAGGCTTAATTTTTACACCCCATTTTTACATTAACAAATATTTTACATTTTTAGAATCTGTTATACAAACAAACCTAAATTTCTCAATTTTCCAAGACTATGTATTCACCTGGTTCACTACAATTTGGCTAAAAAATAATTGCAACACATGATTCAACAAATRCAGCCATAATGTTACAAGAGCAGACTRARACCCTGCATRTTATTTTCAGCATTTATGCATAAAYGTACATATATGACATCATAAATTTTGAAATCAGGTCACCTTAAGACGAGAATTGCAGCTTTGTACTTAACCAGTCCATTTCAATTGTGTTAGAGCAAATTCTATCATTTTATTGGAGGTGGGGGGTGTTATACTGAATGAATCAAATTCTTTTGAGGCTCATTGACCCCCCTAACCCCACCAGCTTACACCCATGGTCTGTATTTCTCCTCTATGGTCTGTCCTTGCATAAAGTCCAGTTTGTAGTCCAGAATCTTWTTTTGAACAGTTTTTGGATGCACCTCTGAATGTGGTCGCCTTCTTTAGGTGCTCTCACTTGGCAATGTCTAATGATGCAGCAAAATCCAATAATCMCAAAAAGACACTAGAGTTATCAGATCTTATAACTAACCAGATCTGATAACCCTAATCGTTTTCAAAGCAGAGCATAAATATGCTTTGCTTGACTTGTGTTTCTTTATTTGGTTGGAAAATTACTTGAAGCTGTGAACACCTGTGGTCCGTATATCCCTTTGTCCAGTTTGTACATTTGATAGGAAAATTAGACGCAGAAAGCAAAATATTGCCATCCTTACACCAAGTTGCCATGTTTTGTTTCTCTTATCATGCTTCAGGAAATGTCTTATTGTATGTCTTCTCTCTGCACCGGGTGGTTTAGGTTGTGTTAATGTTTTGTCTGTCTGGTCCAAGCTGCTTGWTTGCTAATTTCTTTTTTAATTTCAGTCTTTCAAAAAGTCACKGTTGTACACAGGTTCCACTCTACAGACGTTCCTGCTCTTGACCGTACCTCATGATGTCTAGCCTTAGTAGAGGTTGTATCATTGAGCCAAAATCAGCAGAATGTGTGCATGTGACACACTTATTTCTGTCCTGGTGAGACACTTTTCATGCCGCCTGCAGTTCAGATTTAAGCCAACAGGGTAATATGACAGATCTACTGATAAAYGCAGGCATTGAAGCTGTGCTGCCCCCAAATTGCAAATAAGCACAAAACTGGGAACAAATCATGAAATATAATTTTAAAGTAATCTAAAATTAATCAAAATGGTAGAAAAATACAGAGGAAAACAATACACAGCAAGCCAAATAATTGCAATTTTTTTTCTTAGGAGGAACTGCAGCTTTTACAGATTAGCCATACTTGTATATTCACCATTTGAAAATTAACTGAAAAAATAACAAGTTCAAACAAAAAGTTGTTTGTTTTTGTCAAGATATCACAGTTTCAACCCTTGTTAAATCAGCAGRTGACAGTATTTGTGTTTTTGTAAGTGGTACAGCTAAATCTATCTCCAACACTCCCATTAACTTTTACAAACTTATTTTAACTCTCATTTCTCTCATTCTGTCTAATTCTCACCCACTTAAAGTTTGTTTTGTCTCTAGACCACACACGGACTTGCAAACACACGAGCCACTGGATGCAGTGACAGATTTCTTTTTCTGTGGATCAGGCGATAATTTTCAAAGCAGTAGCAGCAAGGGGTTAATGAGGGGTCAAAGAGTTCAGATAAGAAACAACAGTTTTACGGCACCTACCTACCTGCAGCATGCTGATAGCTGTTTGAAGTGAGTGACCTCTGAACCCCAGTGGGTCAAGTGATCAACAACCTATAGGTCGTTTAGACAGGTCAGATGGGAGCGAGTAAATGATTTGTGTCACGACAGAATCTGGAGCAGGGGCAGATAAATTGTTCTAAATGATTACAACCCAACTCTATTTGTTTCCAAAGCTATTAGATTGTTGTCAGCTATCTACTTTCTTTGAGGTGGGATATATTTGATTAATTTCTAAATGAAATGATAAATCTTTCATTGAATAAATGCAGCTGGTTGAAACAAGTGCATCTTCAGGAACTGAAAATGAAATACACAAAATAGTAAAAGGCTTGATTGTTTTATAGTTTATATAGAATATCTGTCTTATTAATATTATTATATTGGCTTTCTAGCCTTGCTTCACTTTTTTAAATGTGCTACAATTCAAGCAAACACTTAACATCTGTGTGTCTTTCTCTCTTTCAGCATAGTGACCATCACAACTATCACCAGTGGATGTGGATCACCGAGGAGGGACTGTGATTTACAGATAGCAGCTCGTCTCGTCCATCGGCACCCCATCATTACATCAAGCAGGAGATAGGTGCTGTGAGACGAGAGGAAAAAAGGGACCTTTTTGTAAATGTCAGCAACAGTCAGAGCCTCAAATTTCCTCCATTAACTCTTTCCTCCGTGATGCTCTGTACTCTGAACCCCTTAATTACATAATGTCCTTCCTCATATTGCCTGGTGTTTGATGCATCTAGACAACACATGTACACAAAGGGGTAAAAAAAAAAAGGCTGAAGTGACTACAGCTCTCCTTGCTTTTTTTGTTGTTAGCAGTAGATCAGATCTTTTGAAGTGGTGTTCTGTGGAAGGTTCCTAAATGATTAATATATTGACTGTTGTAGATACTACTTGTATACTAGCTCTTTGAGCAACTGTTTGGAGTTTAATTTTGACTGGATCAATGAACTGAAGGCTAGATTACTATTTCAGTCAGGACGAACTTTCAGCAAGAATATTTTATTTCTGCAAGGGAAACATAAAAGACACAATAAAAAATAAACAATTTAAAACAAAAATAAATAAATAAAAGTTTAAAAATTACTCTCAGAAGTCATTTGCATACCTAAAAAAACTGTTTTCAGTCTGGATTTAAACATTGTCAGAGTGGAGACCTGTCTCACATCTTCAGGAAGACTGTTACATATTTTAGGAGCACAACACTGAAATTGAGCCTCACCTTGTTGGGCCCCAAATCTGGGCAACTGTAAGAGATTACTACCCAAGCTTCTTAGAGTCTGAGCTGGTTCATATAGCTCTAACATATCAGATATGTACACTGGCGCTAGACCATGAAGACACTTGCACACAGGTAGAGCTATTTAAAGTGTATCTTACCCCCCCTTGAAAAGATAACTCCGCCCCAAGGCGAAATTTGAAAAATGCATCAAAGTGGGTATGGGGAGGGGGTGTGGGTAGGGGAGGGGGGTTAGAGAGCGGAGGTGTGGCCAGGATGAGAGAACGTGACAGCTAGCATTAGCATAATTGATGCTGCATGGAGAGTGACCACAGCGACGCAGATAGTTACATCTCTGAACGTCTGAGGTAGAGGATTTTCACCCTCCC